TATTTTACACACATACTATATATATATATATAAACTGATTTATCTTCATTTATGTTGTTCCTTTTATAATTTTTTTTATGGTTATGAGTGATAGAAAATGACATCGAATAAAAATTGTATTATTCGAGATTGTGCACGCCTATGATGTATAGAAGAATAGAACAATTGTTTATTATTGATTATGTTATTAGAAGAAAAGGCAAGAGAAGATGGAACCCAAAGTTAGTAAATCTGTCTTTATTTTGTATTAAGAAATATAAGTTAGAAAATAAGTTGTTCTAAAGAGGTAAAAGAAAAATTCATACCTTATCGTTATAATTAATATGTAAAATAAACATGGCAGGATTTTAAGGACTAATAAATTTACTTGTAGGAAGAAACGATTGACCAACTAACAACTCGAATTAATCAGTTATAGCTTAGTCATTTGTCATATTCTCTCCTTGCTTATTCTTCTAATTTAATAATAGTTTAAAAAATCCAATGAGCTCAGGTAGTCCACATTGTACACAGTATATTAAACGAAGGAAAAAGTCGATTAAAATCAACTAAAATTATGCCTCCGAAAATGTAATCTCTTCTGTATATTCTGTCAATACATTCGTACGATAACAATATCCAATGGTCTCGAAGATAATACAGATGCTGCTTCTTGTTTATAATCGAAGATGACGAAATCGATGTCAGATACGATTAATCTATCTTATATATCGTAACGTATGTTCGCAAAATTAACATGCAAACGGAGTTGATATAACATTCCATCCTATTTGTACAGCTTATTTTATTGTAAACAGATACGTCCCGTTAGATAATAAATAATATTGTCATGGCAAAAATTTTGTGGCCTTAAATTCCGATTATGAGATTTCTTATTTTAATAAATCTCTCGTTTGTAAATTTCACATTTCTATGATGATGGTAAGATGCGCAAATTATTCGCCGATAAGTGAATGTCCTTTCGTACTTGTTCATCTTCATATTAGATTTGCAGGGCGATGTGCATAAGCTTACATTTAATGCGTTAGTAATCCTTAGCTCGGAAATCGAGCTTAATTCGGTGCAATCTAATATGTTACGAAGTATGAATAAAACAGCGCTCTTTATTGGAGCAAAGTCCTGGTGTGATCCAATCTTTATGAATTAAATAAAAACGGGTACACTGGACAGAAAGAAAATTGTTGCTATGCGTATACAGTGCAGTGTTCTCTTAATCTGCTCTTCCTTTATGTTAATGACAATATGAGTAGATAATGTCTTTTATTTTTCGCGTATGTAGTGCTATTCAGTTTCCAGACGTTCGTCTCGAAGTTGTGCGATTTTCAGTACAGTCCTATAATAAATACCGCGTGTAACGAACATTGGGCGGATTCACAGAACATTGTCACGGTGTGATGCGGACGGTTCGAGGGACTTGTAAATTTTTGTAATTGAATATTGAGTACATACCTACTCCCACTTCGCGCGCCCCTAGTTTTTCTTGTATTATATTCCTATAGAGAAAATTATAAATACAAAAGAAAGCAGTAACGATAAGATATATATGATGAACTTAACAGCCGCGATCGGTATCCCATGCGAGTCGCGCGTAAATGTTTTTACAGATACGAATGTGTTGAAATTGTATTTACGTGTAAATCGATGATAGAAAAAAGCGCGAAAGGCTTAAATGTAGGTAACGGATAACCCATTTCGTTGGAAAATGACAGCTGATATTTGCGCCCGGACTAAATAAACATCTTTAGCCCGTAAAACTTAACGCCTTATGATAATTATATCACGCATTATAACATATCTACTTAATATATTTCCATTATATTGTTTACCGACGCGACGATACATTGAGCTTATTACTGTATCAGGCAGCTATTATTTGTCTGTGTAGCGTGTTTTTATCTGTAATGTCAATTTTCATTACAAATGTGTTGTTTAATTTACGGGGATAGAATGAGACTTAATTGCTTGTTTTTAAGCTAGCTCAATGTGACACACACACACACACATATATACACACGAACATACACACATACGTTTTATTTACATATACTTACGTGCACGAACTGAAAGGAATGCGTGACTTAATTACGGAGCAAGTTCTGTCGCATTAATATCCGTATGTAAATATAAGAAAAACAAAAAAGATATATATATAAATATATATATGCGTTGTAATATATTAATTACGAGAAAAAAACGAGCGCTTCTATATCGCAGTTGCAACAAGGAGTACGTAAAAAAAAAAGAAAATATGCTTATCGTGCTATGCCCTTGCGTTATGATCATTGAATTACTAACGAAATACGGTGGAGTTTTCAATCATGAATTTTAAGCATTAATATTATATTTAATGAAATTAATATAACAAATTATGTTCTCTTATATAATATTGTGGAAAGCCCCCCACACACAGACTATATATGCAAATAAATTATATGAAAAAGTTACACATTCGACGCGTTCGTTGATTTCTCCCTTTCTCCCTCGCGTTCTGCGTAAAAAAGAAATACGCCACACGTGAGACCAGTTCATCACCGATTGATCCGGTAACTAACATTGATTTCGAACACAACCATCAACATTTCAACGGCTGCGTTCAGCAGAAAAAGAAGTTCAACGAGCGCTCACGGTGATTATCGTCTGTGATCGGAATGTTCTTTCAGATTCCTGACAGATCCAGGAGAAAGTACCAATCAGAATCATCAATAATCATTAAGCATTCACCGAGCTATTTGTTCTGCTGGACACAGGCAATGCCGTTTTCGTCGCGTCTCTCTTGGGGGCTCGATTGTGCATCTCAAAACGAGAATCACAAAAGTGCGCAAATTCGCTCGGTATTGATCAATTGAAATTGCAAACATCCCGACAAATTCGCTCGATTTTGTGATTCTCGTTTTGAGATGCACGAATCGGGCGGTTCGAACGTCCCGCCGAGAACGGCGCGCCATCGAGTGAGCCGGCGCGCCGCAGGATGCCGCTAGCGGCGGGCACATCCGCAGAATCAAAAAAGACAGTCGGGAAGTGTAACATCACACATCGATTCGGCGGCCCGCGTCGTCAAGCCCGAAAAAACTTTCCTTTTCCGCGTTTCTCCTGGAGAGCCCGGCCGTGTGTGCGTGGCGACGTCGTGTCACGGCGTGCCGACGTCCGAGGCGTCTCTCTCTCTCCTTAACGTGTGCGCGTTCACGCGTGTGGTGCTGTGTGATTGTAGTGAACGGTCACGGCGTACCACCGTTGCCGAGGCCGATGGAAACGTGACTGTCCTCCTCTCGGGTTATGCGGTGGTTCCTGTCACGAGCAGCGGCAGCGCGACCCTCTTCTTCTCGCACAACCCCCAACGTCTCGCGGTAGCCGTCGTGTCGTCGACGAGGGAGGGAAGCTCGGCGGCGTGCTGATAACGCGACCGCGGCGGAGGTCACTGCATTGCGGTGAGTACGTCGAACTCTCATTCTCGGTGCTCCTCGCTTTCGTACACTTTATGTTACTCCTCTCGATCGCATCGTGCGGCACCGACACGCCTCGACGACGGTTCTCCGCCGCTTCCTCGCTCCCCCCAACCATCGACAGCCGGGGGTTCGTTTACCTTCCGACGCGAGCACCACGACGAGCCGGTCAAGCTTTCCGTTTTCGGACCGAACGATTCGTGACACGTTCGTGGAATCCCGGGAAGCCGGTGGGCAATTTCCACGTACGGAAGCGGAGACCGTCGTCGTGCGGAAGGACGACCGCCCGGAGTGCGCGAACCGGCCACGGGGAGAGTCCCTTTCGCGTGTATCCGGACGTTCCGCGTGATCCCTCGCGATCGATGGGTGTTTTGAGTTTTGAGCTTCCGGGACAGATCGCGCCGACGAAACCGGGGAATCTCTCGGCGGCCGGCTCGTAATGTTGCGAATGCGCCTTGGTTACTTCGGAACATCGTAATCCCTGCGTACTGCAGCTGTTTACACCCCTGCGAGCAATATTATAAAATATTTATGCGTTTAATGAATTTATTTCACGGGAATGCGGAGGATGAAAAATCAGTGCTTTATAAATACGAAAACGCCGGGTATATAACCTCACCTTCGGCAAGCTGCGATTATGTGCTCGTGCGTGCGTGATGCAACGCACACACGCGCGCGCGCGCGTGCGCGGGGGTATAAATATAGTATACGTTCGTTTAATTAGTTATTTAAAATTTTATCCGCGCATTTGCATGCCGCATTAGAATACATTTTCGTATATTGTTAATAGCCCGCATTAAGATTTATTCGAAAATGTCGCTCTCTGTTCATTATTCAATACGTTAAATTGCTCCACCGCGGTGTGATTTAATCATCCACAAATATTTTTCACGCAAATTAAAATATTATCGTTGCCAACCGATGAAATAACATACGGGTCGCGTTTTATCCCGCACGTGATGAGTACGATGAATACAACATATTTTTTTCTTTATTCATCGGTCATACATAATTAAGAACCGAGGATTTGGCGGTATTTTATTTCTTACGTTTGCTAACACGCTCAAACCGAAATCTCATTCTTTAACAGCCAATTCGGCTGTAAAAATGCGCGAGCGAGCGAGATCCGCGCGAAAGCACAATCGCAAACTTCGCCGATTCGATGATATCTACGAGGTTTTTGTGCATACGATGCACTCGTTAACTACTTAAACGTGCCGGCTTCGTTCCCGATAGTTCGAGTAATTATCCGGGT